GCCTTCAGAACAATGAAACAATTACTTTCTGTTGTCTAAGCCACCAAGTCTGTGGTACTTTGTTATAGCAGCCCTAGCAAAGTAATACACTATCTGTAAGTCACGACAGTGGTTTGTCTATTTCAATGGAATTCAGGTAGTTTTATGTGCAAGGGAAGGGAAGGAGGATTGAAGAGAGCCGTGCTTCAACCTCCTCAGTCCACAATGCCAATCCTTAAAGAGTTTTCTGCTTCTACACAGGTATAATCAGAGGTATTATGTCCTTTCTATGTGTTTACTATAGAAATCTCTTTACTTCTAGAGGAAATAATGTTAATAGCAGCTAGCCATGTGAGATTTATTAAAATATTTATATTAAATAGAAAAAAGCTGGCAAGCTAGGCTCATCTCCACATTTTTAGAACATTGCTGATTAAGGAGACTCCAGAGTTGAGAAATCTGAAGAGGACTTCTTTTCTCTTCTTTTCCTCTATGGATTTTCTGTCTTTGTGGAATGAGCAGTAGATATTTATTAGCACTTCTTTCTTGGTTCTCCTATTCTCTGACCTATATTCTAGTATGAGTTGTCTTGTTAGGCAGGAATTTCTTGGTTTGATTAACATATTACTATTCGGTAAAATAAGGAGAAAGCAGTGCTCCACGGAATCTAGGCAAAATGGGTAAATATTACATTTATATAGTATACATCTTCCCATCATTGCACCCAAGTTTGACTTGAAATTAGTAAAGTTTTCCTTGTGAGTGAAGAGCATAGCATCACACCACCATAAGAATATCAGTTCTGGGCTTCCCTCGTGGCGCAGTGGTTGAGAATCCACCTGCCAATGCAGGAGACACGGGTTCGAGCCCTGGTCTGGGAAGATCCCACATGCTGTGGAGCAGCTAAGCCCATGTGCCACAACTACTGAGCCTGTGTGCCACAACTACTGAGGCTGCACTCTAGAGCCCGCATGCTACAACTACTGAAGCCTGCGTGCCTAGAGCCCATGCTCTGCAACAAGAGAAGCCACCGCGATGAGAAGCCCGCGCACCGCAACAAAGAGTAGCCCTCGCTTGCTGCAACTATAGAAAAGCCCGCGTGCAGCAACGAAGACCCAACGCAGCCAAAAATAAGTAAATAAAATAAATATTTTTTTTAAAAAAAGAATATCAGTTCTTCATAAGTGAAAATATTTTTTTCTAGGTATAGTTTAAAAGAAAAGTAAAACCAACGTATTTGTCATTATTGTTTCAGCCATTAACATTTTGCTAATTATGTTAAATGATAATATAATTTAAAATCATGCCTTTCGTATCTCAGTAGGCAAACTCAAATGTATCAAAGGACAGTATGAAACTAGGATTTGACATACATTTCAGTGAAAGTGTTTCACTGCACATAAGGCGTCATGAAGTAGTCTAAAAATGAAGTCTTTAAATTTGTAACTGCTACATTGAAACTTGCACAACTAATGAGTTTGATAAAATAATGTCCAATTAAAATTTAAACTCCTTAAAATTATTTTTGTGGTCATACCTTAAATTGTAACCAAAATTTTGTCAGAAGCAGAAAGATATTTTAATTCTAATGTCATTATATGGACCAAAAAACCCCTTGATAACCCTGTTATCAAATGGCCTTTCTTTTTAAGATTTAATAGAAAATAGTACTGTTTTAATAGTACCTGGGGTTTGTTTTAATCAGGTATGATAAGATATGCAGACATGGAAACAGCTGCCATGAAGGAAATGTTTACTCATAGTTCCCTAGAAACAGACACAGACATCATGCAGGCACAGACATCGTGCAGGGTCACATGGGGAAGCACCAAGATTGGTCAGAAGGTAGAGGGAATGAGGGAGAATTGTAGGAGAAGAGAACATGTATGGAAACATTTGTGGTTTCTGTGGGGAGGAATGCTTGAGGCACAGCAAGCAGATTTAGGATTGGCTAGTTTGAGTAATTTCGATGGACTTTGAGGCATAAGGGCTGTCCTTAGTTGTCTGGTGCCTGACCCTATGTAGGTAATAGCTGAGAATGTGGAATCCCTATAAAGAAGGTGGTAAGGGGTATGGGCTCTGGATTGGTTGGCTTGCATATGAAAGATGTACTTCCAGTGAGTTATTTGCTATTTTTAGGAATTAGGTTACTCTGCAGGGTCAGCAAGAGCCCTAGATATCAAAGCATCAGAATATAGAAAATAAAAGGCATAATTCACAAACTGCACTCACTTGATTTCCTTTAGAAAAATTATGATTTTTAAATCTGTATTTTTATATAGTTACTATACTGGAAAAGTAAAAACATTAAAATAATGATAAGGTAAATTGGCTCAAATGGGATGGTCCTTTTATTTTTTGCTATATTAACCATTAAAGTCCTTCTGTTTATGATTTAAATGATTAAGTCACTTTTGCTGCATAACTTAAAAGTAATGAAGGAAAAGCAGACAAAGAATACTGTCAGATTTTGTTTGAAGACTTACTTAGCTGTCATTTTCAGTACTTTTCTATATCAGATATGTCAAATCATGTTAAATCTGAACACTACATTGGTACGTTTCTTTGTTACAAAGTACTTTCCTCTGAGTTACATCATTCCCAATTCTAGAACATATTACATGATTTTGCTTTTGCCATTAATACTTTACTGTGATGGATATTGTATCAAAATAAGTTATTGAAACCAATTGACATTTATATTACCAGACATTCCTGCTATATGAAATAAATATTATGGATTTATGTAAACAGTCAAACATAATTTTTTTAAAAACTAGACTTTAGTATCCAGGATTTCACGCTAAAATTACATGCTGTTCTCAGATGCTCACATACAGTCCTATGTTTGTGTGAAGTGTCTGCTTGCACAATTACACATATACACATGTTTGCTTTTGATTGCCCTGAGGAAAGCAGTTTTTACCTTCTTCAATGTTGCACCTAATTTTTAGCCATTAATCAAAGAAGAGTAGGCATTTTTATAGACATTTTTCATCTCAACGTATGTCACTACATTTCTGCAATTCCAAGATTCAAGATTAAGATGGTTTGGCTTGGCTTTATGGTTTTGTTGTTTTTGTTGTTGTTGACTATTTAATGTATTTCCTTGTATTTGTTGCTTTCTGTGTCCCCAAGTTTATTTTCTTTCATCTGGCAGCAGAATTGCAATGATTTCCTTTATTCAATTCAGGAAATCTCTGCTTTTTTCTTCTATCTTTCATTGTCAGTCTATGTGATTTATATTTTACTGATATTTTCACCATATCATCCATAATATACTCTATTTTAAAAGTCAATATTATTTCTTGTCTTGATTGTTTGATCAAAAATGCATTTTTCTTAGCATGCATTTAATCTAAAACAGTCTCAGTCATGGTTTATCCACAGACATGGCACTATCTGACACAAAAGTTAGGTCAGAAAATCCTTACAAACACCTGAAATTTCCAGACATCAAGGTCTAGGTATAGAAAATGGAGATAATGGCCTCTTCACTGTAAAATCTTTATTGTGTATACATTATAACTACCCATAGTCACTGTGTATGGTGTTAAGTAAGGCTTTTCAAACCTGTACCATAAAGGTGAAAACTTTCAGCTATAAAATGAATAAGGTCAGATGATCTCATGTAAAACATGGTGACTATAGTTGATAACAATGGGTCATATAATTGAAATTTGCTAGGAAGAGAACTTAAATGTTCTTATCAAAAAACAAAAAAAAAGTAAATATGTGAATTGATGGATGGTCTCATTTACTAGTTGAGGGGAATCTTTTCACAATGTATAACTATATCCAATCACCACAATGTATACTTTAAATATGCCACAATACAGTTAAAAAAATCCCAATGAGAATTTTTTTAAAAAAGGTCATTTGTCAAAATTGTTAGTTATCCCTTCTCATCCTTTTACCTCACCTGCAATTCAAAGCATATTTCTACGGGTATTGATTTAGATTATGAAAGATGAGATTTTCTTTTGTCTATACTCAATCTGGAAAGCAAATAAAGTGATAATAGTTGTCAGTGGGTGAGGATTTTTATGTGTAGGGACATGATGTCCTAAAGGTACTAGTGTTGGGGAGGAGAAGAGACAGTTTCAGGGACTATAACTAAAGCTATGTTGACGTGAAGCAATAAGGAAGAAGAATGAGATCACGGGATGAAATAGAAAGGCAGGTCTGGCTGGGGTGGCCTACAGAAGGGGTCTGATGAGGTCTGATGAGAAGAGGTGAGGGCAGACATTGGCAGAAGCTGAGGGAAGCTAGTAGTGGATGGCACTCTACCTCCTGCACTGGTACTTCGGTCCCTCTGTAAAAGCTCCCCAGCCTGTCGATATTGGACAAGAAGTGCTTGAACCTTCTTGCCCTCTTGGGCTGTATATCTTTGTTGCCCGGGTATCCCCTTAGTGAAGCGTTTCTTGACAAAAATATTACAAATGTATGAGTAAATTTAAAAAATGGAAAGATAGGTATTAGCTTCATTATTTTGCTATGATTAATTTCTCCCCTGTAACAAAGGTGTCTTCCTCTATTTCCTGGAAAACTAAAAATGGTTTCTTACAAGCTCTAAATGTTTCCTGAGTCCATGTGAATATATAAGTTGAGCTAAAATCTCACTTAGAGCTGTATTTTAAACTTAAAGCTAAAGTCACCATGAAAGAAAATGGAAGATCAAACTACAAATATAGTAGTCTAAATTTAATTTAATCAAAATTTAATTAAAAATTCTCAAGAAAATCGGGAAGATTTTCTATGATATAAAAGAGAAAATGTATAAGAATACAGGAAGGAAGCAAGATATGTTTTTTAAAAAGGGATTACAGAGACTACAAAAATATTCTGTAAATAATAAATTGTAAATAACATTCTGCAAATAATCTTGTAAAAATAAATAATTGATAATTTTTTGTGCAGCTAAGCAATATTCACATTGAAGATATTCACATTCTTCACTGAAATATCAACTAGGAGAAGTACATCAAACTTTCTTTACAGAAAGTAAACTTGCATTATACATTTTCTAAAATAGGTAAAATTTTATTTCCTCCATTATTCTTTAGGTATTTTATACTGTGTATCCAAAGAATCTTGAAGAATATGATACCACATTATGTGTAAATCAAAACTAGGAGAAATATGCCACATTAACTTGAGTAAACAAATTATTTTATTATTTGTGAAATATGAACAATAGCTAGATTTGTACTATTTTTTTGAAGTTCACATGTGCCAGGGTTAGCCTGGATTTCAGTATGTTTCTGTATTTCATCCTCTGTGATTGTGTTGTTCTTTGCATTTTAGTTGTCGTGGCATCTCCTTGATGAGTAAAGCTCTATATTATTTGAAACCAAGTTCACCTTTACTTCCTGAAAGCTTGTGGGTTTGAAAAACTAGAGTCCATGTTAGCACTGACCAGTCCAAGTTCACAGTGATCATCTGTCCTTCACAATTCAGTGTTTATTGTCTACACTATTCACTAGACAATCCTCACTATGCTTTCAATTCATTACAAGTCACAAACAGAATGACCACTCTATAATAAAGGAAGTAGTGTTGGAGGAGAGATTTCAGATCTAAATACAGCCAGAGCTGGGCCTACTCTATTTAACACCCCAGTTTACTTTTCCACAATATTATCTTTTAAATAAGTCTCATGTGGTAATTATGCTTTTAAGACTCACCTGTGGAATCACTTCCTTACAAGAAAACAACCGTCAATAAAATATCAGGTATTGAATGTTATTTTAGCATAAATATATTTTGCAATACAGTTTACCCTTGAACAATGCAGGGATTAGGGGCACTGATCCCCTGTGCAGTGGAAAATCCATGTATAATTTTACAGTGGCCCTCCGTGTCCTTGGTTCCACATCTGTGGATTCAACCAACCATGGATCAAGTAGTACTGTAGTAAGTGTTTACTGAAAAAGATGCTCATGTAAGTGAACCTATGTAGTTCAAGCCTGTGTTAATTCAAGAGTCAACTGTACATAATTGTACACTTTTTAAATTATAGATATTAAATTTTAGAAACGTGAAAAATTTCTAGAGGAAGAAAATAAGATATTGGATAAAACTCATAACCCAGCATTGAAAGATAAAACAATATTTTGTGTAATTTTCTTGAATTTTCTAAATATTCCTCCTAATTTTTGAGTTTAGCAACATGACACAACCTTCCTTTGATAAATCATGAATTATATACACCATTCCTTATTAGAAACACTTGTTTCTAAATTTGGAGTTCCCCTGACATCTTCTGCTATCACCCACTTATTCTCACTTTCTATACCCAAGTCTTACTCGATCCTGAGGGTTGTACATTGTTGTTTCCTCTGCAGGTAAATTTTCCAGCAGATATTCACAAAACTCGTTCCCTCACTGTATCTAGATCTCTGCTCAGATGTCTCCTCCTTACAGACATCTTTCCTACCATACAGTTTTAGAACAGCCAGCCCAGCAACTATCTATTCCCTCATATCACTTTGCTTATTTGCTTTGTATCATTTGTCTTGCGCCATTAGAAAGAAATCTTCAGAAGAGCAGAGACCATGTCTACTGCTGCCTCCCAATGCCTAAAACAGCCCCTGGCACAGAGTGAGTGTTCAACATAGTTACTGAGATATAAATGAATATGTTGGTATATATTTTTCCCTTTCCTTGTTTGTATAACCTTTGTTTCTCTAACTGGATTAAGAGAAACTTGAGGCAGTGAGAGGGTCTTACATTCTTTGTAAATCTCCTCATACACTTAGAAGAATTGTAACTGAAAGTGGGGTCTAGCTGCTTGCAGCTCAAAAGCCAATAAAGAGGCAAGGTTGGTGGAAAGGAACGTTTGCTTATATTGGATGCTGGCAACTGGGGGTGGGGGTGGGGCAGGGCGGACTCCTGTCCATAGGCTAACTTCCCACCCCCCCAACCGACAATCAGGGGGCAAGAGTGTTTATAGACAGAGGGAAGGGGCTATATGCAGAAACAGCATGGTCAACTCTGACAGTCATCTTGAAATTGGTCATGCGGTGGTCTGACCAGTGTCATCTTGATTGTTTTAAGTACAGTTAATCTTCAGTCCCAGGGTCGGTTTGTTCCCATTTCTTTGAGGCCAGTTCTCAGAACCGTGGCAGCTTATGTCATGGCTACAGTCTGGTCATCCTGTAGTTAATCTCTTCCACTCGGTGGGGATTTCAGTACCTATAAGACAGCTCACAGGATATGGCTCAGAATATTATCTATAGCCCTTGAGGAGGAACTAAAGGTCCTTGACTATGCTTAATGACTAAACTATTATTATTTGTTCTCCTTTGACTGTTTTCCTTTGTTTCCGCATTTTCTCACTTCTCTGATTAAACATATTCTTTGGCTAAAGTTTTTCCACAGACAGAAGGCAGGCTGAGGACATGGGGGGCAAGGACCATAGGGTCCTGCGCCATTTCAGAATGACTTGATAGGCAAACTTTACCATGGCATGGTCTCAACTAATAGTTAATTTTTTCAAAAACTTTTCTTTACAAAGCCTGTATTTCCTTTTCTAACTACAATAATTAATTTTGAAAAACTATACCTTCAAAAAAGCAAAGAGAAGAGAAAGAGTGGTAGTTGGAAATGAGATGTGTAGGAGTATCTTCTTATATACCTTCTCAAAGTCACTAGACAATTTTTTAAGAAAGTTGAATGAAGTACCAGCTAAGCAAATGAAGCATTAAATTGTCAGAGGGTGTCCATCACCGAAAGAACACGCTGGCCATATGGATGAATTGACTGCATTAGTCTGGACATTTTACGATGGACATATATCAATTCATCATCTTCCAAGGTGAATGATATTTGTTGGGAAAGTCTCTGACACAATCATATTTATTACCTTAGTAGAAATTTGATGATGATCTATAATCTTAACATAGGATAGGGAGGAAAAGAAAGAATATTCAGAGGAATGTATTTTAATAGTTTGATAAGGAACACATATGTTTTTCTCACAGTGACAAAATTAAGCCATAAGAATAATATGCTAAAAATTTACCTAAACTGTACTTCATTAAAAAACAAAATCTTAAGGAATGTGGAAAATTATTCTTTGTTACAGATGATTTTATTTGAAGAATTCTGTTACATAAGGAATACATTTGAAACGATTGGTTTGCTTTTCAGAATGTTTTCCTCTAGTTTTAGTTTTACTCCACATAAAGGCTTGAGAGAGGCATAGTGCTTCTTGGGTTGAATTGGAGATATTTTTGACCATGAATCAAGACAAGGTGAAGCCAAGAGAGCAAATGACCAGCTCACAGGTCAAGCATGCAGTGCGGTACTTTACAGACAGCAATTCTGTGAAGAGAGAATACTCTTCATGACATTCATGAGCAAGTCCTCAGGAGTATGAATCAGGGATTCTGGTTCTTTCAGAACTAGCTTTTCTCATCTGTAATATGAGAGCCTAGCAAGTAATCTGTAAGGTTCATATTCTTAGTTAGTTTTCTATCTTTCTACCTTTTTTTTTTTTTTTTTTTGCGGTACACGGGCCTCTCACTGTTGTGGCCTCTCCCATTGCGGAGCACAGGCTCTAGATGTACAGTGTCAGCGTCCATGGCTCACGGGCCTAGGCGCTCCGCGGCATGTGGGATCTTCCCGGACCGGGGCACGAACCCGTGTCCCCTGCATCGGCAGGCGGACTCTCAACCACTGCACCACCAGGGAAGCCCCTATCTTTTTACCTTTTATGGATTCTTAAATATCACTGTCCCAAGACATTGAGGTTTTATAGGCAATTGTTGTTTATGAAACTTGCCTGGGCTTCATTGATTTTCATTTATTTTATTTCAATTATGGTAAATAGTGAATTTAAATAGGCTGAAAACAATTTACCAAATATGAACATATGAGATACCAGGTGATTTTTACCTACAAAGCCATTATAAAATAGCTTTCATTTGTATAATAATGAGTAACCAATCAACATTAAATAACATGCTTTATCTTGATTGATAAAAAATAAATCTGAAGGAAATATGCTATAAATGATCTCTTGCTGGAAGATTTGTATTTCTTTTTTTTAAATGACACTGTACATCAGAAGAATTTGCACCCTTTTTTTTTTTTTCATTTGGGTATAGTTGTTTTACAATGTTGTGTTAGTTTCTGCTGTACAGTGAAGTGGAGTTACCTGTGCTATACAGCAGGTTCTTATTAGTTATCTATTTTATACATATTAGTGTATATATGTCAATCTCAGTCTCCCAGTTCATCCCACGCACCCCCCCGCTTTCCCCCTTGGTGTCCATACGTTTGTTCTCTACATACGTGTCTCTATCTCTGCCTTGCAAACCAGTTCATCTGTACCATTTTTCTAGATTCCACATATATGCATTAATATATGATATTTGTTTTTCTCTTTCTGACTTCCTTAACTCTTCATGACAGTCTCTAGGTCCATCCATGTCTCTAGAAGTGACCCAATTTTGTTCCTTTTTATGACTGAGTAATATTCCATTGTATATATGTACCACAACTTCTTTATCCATTTGTCTATTGTTGGACATTTAGGTTGCTTCCATGACCTAGCTAGTGTAAATAGCGCTGCAATGAACTTTGGGGTACATGTGTCTTTTTGAATTATGGTTTTCTCTGGGTATATGCCCAGTAGTGGGATTGCTGGGTCATGTGGTAATTCTATTTTTAGTTTTTTAAGGAACCTCCATACTGTTCTCCATAGTGGCTGTATCAATTTACATTCCTACAAACAGTGCAAGAGGGTTCCCTTTTCTTCACACCCTCTCCAACATTTATTGTTTGTAGATTTTCTGAAGATGCCCATTCTAACTGGTGTGAGGTGATACCTCATTGCAGTTTTGATTTGCATTTCTCTAATAATTAGTGATGTTGAGCATCTTTTCTTGTGCCTCTTGGCCATCTGTATGTCTTCTTTGGAGAAATGTCTATTTAGGTCTTCTGCCCATTTTTTGATTGGGTTGTTTGTTTTTTTAATATTGAGCTGCATGAGCTGTTTATATATTTTGGAGATTAATCCTTTGTCCGTTGTTTTACTTGCAAATATTTTCTCCCATTCTGAGGGTTGTCCTTTCGTCTAGTTTATAGTTTCCTTTGCTCTGCAAAAAACTTTTAAGTTTCATTAGGTCCCATGTGTTCATTTTTGTTTTTATTTCCATTACTCTAAGAGGTGGGTCAAAAAAGATCTTTCTGTGGTTTATGTCAAAGAGTGTTCTTCCTATGTTTTCCTCTATGAGTTTTATAGTTACCGGTCTTACATTTAGGTCTTTAATCCATTTTGTGCTTATTTTTGTGTATGGTGTTAGGGAGTGTTCTAATTTCATTCTTTTATATGCAGCTAACCATTTTGCAAATACTGATAATCTACTTTAAAATTAGAAAGAAAAAATTAAAAGAACCTTAAATATGTGCCATTACCTTCAGGTCTTTGTCCGTCTAGTCTGGCATGTGGGCATCTACAGTGGAACACCCTACAGCAGTCCTAGTGATCAGAGTAACTTGTGGAAACTTTGATTTCCAGAAAAGCTGTGCACTTTTGTTAGGTTTAGGCTTATGCACTTTAGGCAGTAACTCATATAATTAAATCAAAGTTGTACTTTAAATGTACTTTGTGAATATACTTAGTGAATTTTAAAATACTTAGGGAAAGTGTCAACCATTTTTCCAAATATAATCTGATTTTATAAAAATAACTTAGCAGCAAGATCATTTTGAAGTATATGTTTTTTCTTAAATCTAGTTTATGCACATCATATACCAGTGTGAACAAAAATATCAGGAAAATATAGTCGGCACAAAATTTGCTCTGGATTCGAAGTCCTGACATTTTAAGAACAACTTGCCCAAATCGTTCAAATTAACGAGCTACCTTATTTTTTCAAATTAAGGCTAGAATTTTTATTTTCAATTATTTGCAAATAAAGTCATGGAGGACTCTAATTTTTCTAAGGATATTCAAGGAAAGCCATAGTATAATAAGAGTTTAATGTATTTGTCTTTGGTTTTATTTGGGATTCGTATGATCAACACATTTTAGTTCTCTTTTAATTATGTGGATGTCCATAAATCCATACAATAAACCACAAAAATTAAAAATTCAAAGCAAACAAATGTGCACTCCCCTTTCAAGTATCAACCTTTGACATATTTTAATGAATTATTACAATATTTATTGAAATGTGACTTTCAATTTCTTATATGAGGCTTGTGTCATTATCCATTTTCCAACAAATACATAGCTACTTAGATGCTGTTTTAGGTGTTTATAATTAGTCCAATAAACTTTTAGGTAAAAATAGGGAGTCCCTATTCAGATTATCAGTTCAGTCTCAGATTGGTGGGCTCTCTTTAACCCTGCATTTCAAGATAAACGTCCTTTCCTGGGAAAGTCCATTCCTACCATGAGTTCACTGTGGACATTTGGGCAAACATATGCTAGACTCATTGTGGCTTCCTTTCTTTTGTGTCTGCCTTTTCCACTGAACTGTTAGCTCCATTTACTCAGAGACCATATGCCTTTTGCTTACTATTTTATTTGAAGTAATTAGCATAGTGCTGGGCACTTAGTGGTGGATTAGCAAATTTGTTTGTTTGTTAATATTAAAGCATGTTGAACAAGAATTCATTATAGTCTACCAGGGACTGTTCCAGAAACTAAGAATACAAAGTTTAAAGGAACCATGTTTCTTTTTATTGTATAAGGGGGGAGAGAATAGGTAAGTATATAAATATGGAAGCTGAGGCAAAGAAAGCTTGAAAAGTGTTAAATAAAAAGTGTTAAATAATTAAAGCTGTTTCTCTACTGAAAATTGGCGGAGGTGGTGAAGCAAGATGGCAAAATAACAGGGCAAAATAAATCATAAGGCAGGTTGTGAAGATTATGTTTAAAATTAATTGTATTATCTTCAGAAGTTGTATCTGAAATAAGAAAATGATCACTGTAGATGCCCTCCTCAGGAATACCAGGGCACACCTGCCCTGGTGTTTTTTTTTTCTTTTTTGCAGTACGCGGGCCTCTCCGGTTGCGTAGCACAGGCTCCGGACACGCAGGCTCAGTGGCCATGGCTCACGGGCCCAACCACTCTGTGGCATGTGGGATCTTCCCGGACCGGGGCACGAACCCGTGTCCCCTACATTGGCAGGCGGACTCTCAACAGCTGCGCCACCAGGGAAGCCCCTGCCCTGGTGTTTGAAATGTGAATCTTCTGTGTCGGGTTGCTTTTCTTTCTCGTGTATGTAGTTAATGGCCTCTAAATCACTCAATGAATAATAAGAACCTAAAACATAAACATGCTAGAACACTTTGAAATATTAATATAGTTAATTGGATTTATAGTATCATTCTTGATGATAAAGAACTAATAGGAAGACTCTTCCTGCATTTTCATTCTTCAGTTACACTGGGAAAGATCTTTCAAAATTATTTAAATGATAGTATTTATCCATTAGCAGTTTTAGGAAAAGGAAAAGAAAGATAATACTCAGGAATTTATGACATACAGGATTTAATTATGTTAGTAAACGGTTATATTTTGTGAATTTAAATTTATAATTAACAACAAATGGGGCTTCCTTTTCACAATAATTAAATTCTTCTAGTAACTAGACATTTAAGGCAAAACAGATCTTTTTTTTCTTTTTTTTTTTCAGTACGCGGGCCTCTCACTGCTGTGGCCTCTCCCGTTGTGGAGCATAGGCTCCGGACGCGCAGGCTCAGCGGCCATGGCTCATGTGCCCAGCTGCTCTGTGGCATGTGGGATCTTCCCAGGCCAGGGCACAAACCCGTGTCCCCTGCATTGGCAGGTGGACTCTCAACCACTGCGCCACCAGGGAAGCCCCAAAACAGATCTTTTAGACTCAGAGGCTAGAAGTCAATGTGTCATTACAATATATTTGCTCTTAATATTACTTATTTAAATATTTGACCTCTATTTATACAGATATTATTAATATATTTAGCTGATAATGGTTGTTTACTAGATTGTTTCTCAACTTGAATAAAGTTTCTCAACTTGAATAAAGTTCAGATACCAAAGAAAATTTCATTTTTATATGGCAAT